CCCGTCCTGCTCCTCTTCCTGCTCCGCCTCCTCTTCCTGCTCCTCCTCTTGCCCCTGCTCCTCCTCCTTCTGCTCCTCCTCCTCCTGCTCCTTCTTCTTCTCCTCCTCCTCCAACTCCTCTTCCTTTTTTCATCCCCCGTCGTCCTCCTCTCCCTCCTCGTCCGAGAGGCAGGGCGTTGGCAACGTTATTGCGAAGGCGCTGCGCCACCCGAGTCGGAGATGTTCAAATCCCCATCGCGACTGGGCGCCCTTGGCAGTCCTTGGCCTTGGCTTGTGGGGGCCCTTCCGGGCCCCGAAGCCGTCGCAGCGCGTCACGGGGGCCAGGAAATGCGCCGCTCGGGGGCCCCTGCTCGTTAGATTTCCCGCCCTTCCCCTCGACCTCCTCCCCCCCCTCCTTGTCCCCCCCCTCCCCCTTCTCTGCCTCCTCCTCTTCCTCCTCCTCGTCCTCGCCCGTCCTCCCTCCTCCGACTCCCCCTCCTCCTCCCTCCTCCTCCTCCTCCTCCTCCTCCTCCTCCTCCTCCTCCTCCTCCTCCTCCTTCGTATCCGCATCCTCACTCTTTTCTTCCTCGGTCCTTCTCTTCCTTTTCCTTCTCCTCCTCCTCCCCTCCTCCTAATCTTCCTCCTCCTCCTCCTCCTCCTCCTCGTGCTCCGTCATCTTGCCTCTTCGCTCCCCTCCTGTTCCTCCTCCTCCTCCTCCTTCTCTCCCTCCCCCTCCTCCTCCTCTTCCTCCTCCGAGAAGCAGGGCATGGGCAACGCTATTGCGACGGCGCTGTGCCGTCCGAGCCGCAGATGTGGAAGTTCCTCGGAAGTGTTGTTGGCAAGACCCCCTTGGGCGGGGTATCTGGGCATGGGATTAGCGGTCCCCTTGTGCCAGAAGAGACATCCCCCATGATGGGGGGAGTTATTAGGATGGGCGCATGCCCATATGTGATCATTGAGTATTCGGATAGAACTATTGTTGTTGTTGTGGGTGTTGTTGTGGTGGTTGTTGCTGTTGCTGCTGATGCTGTTTGCTGTTTGCTTGTTCGTCGTTTTTGTTGTTGTTGTTGTTGCTGTTGTTGTTTTCATTTTTTGTGTGTGGTGTAGTCGAATTATGTGTCATTGTTGTTGGCATTTGTTTTTTTTGGGGGGGATCTGTTGTGTTTTGCTTGCTTTAGTTGTGGTGTATTTGTTGCTTTGCAACGTGGCTCCGCAAAAGGCCTGGACCCCTCCCCAGGGAAGGGCTTCTCATCCCGAGCCGTTCTCTGATGGCCCGTGGGCCTGGCGGGGACCTTCCGACGTGATCTTTTCGCGACGCGAGGATGGCAAGGGTCTCTAATCCGCCGATCCGGCGTGTGAGTTTAAGAAGTCTAAACTGAAGCTCTGCTTCAGCATGAGCTTTGGCTCTGCTTGTGGGGGGAGGGGGACCTCATTAAATGTCGAATTCAATACCCGGCACCTCCTCCCACGAGCACGACCGATCGCAACCACTTCACACCGATCGTAAACCACTTCCGACCGATCGCAACCAGTTGTGATCGGTCCGAAGTGGTTGCGATGTTTTTGGGTCGTTTCAGCAAGATTTTGATTAAGGAAGAGATCATCAGAGCGCTTCTGGGTTCAATGAGTTCTCTTAAGCCGCCCAATGGGAATCTGAAAAAGCGGTAGCGATCGGTCCGATCAGAGACGGCCGATCATGATTTCAGCTCAACACATGTATTGGAGCTCGAACGTGGCCATGGTCCGTATACGATTCCTATGTGATCCGTATACGGTGGAAACTGAAACTGAATGAAATCGCGTGGCGTGAAACAAATTGCATCTCAGTAGGGGGAGGAGGAGGAGGGGGAGGAGCAGGAAAAGGAGGAAGAGGATGGGGAGGAGGAGGAGGAGGAGGAGGAGGAGGAGGAGGAGGAGGAGGAGGAGGAGGAGGAGAAGGAGGAGGAGGAGGAGGAGGAGAGGGAGGAAAGGGAGGAGGAGGACGAGGAGGAGGAGGAGGAGGAGGAGGAGGAGGAAGGGAAGGCGGAGGAGGAGGGGGGGAGAAGGAGGAGGGGAAGGAGGAAGGACAGGAGCAGGAGGAGCAGGAGCGGCGTCGCCACCCGCAAGGCTGTTGGCACCGCGTGGATCGTTCAACCTTGAATCGATCGTGGCCCCGATCGTTCAATGTTGAATTTCGTCGGATGCAGTGGGCCCAACGTGTCCCTCGGTGCTTCCGCGTCGCAAAATGCAGCCTTGAACGCCTTCGCCAACGTCGCCGGCGCGCCAACGCCGCATGAGCCTACAGTAGACCAGCATTGCATACTGAGTCACTTTTGGACGGCCCCTGGGCCCGGCGATGGCCCCCCGAGCCCGAAACAAAAACATATGTTGTCACGACGCCAAGCGGTCTGGGCCTGTGGTGGTTGTGGGAACCATGGCTGGGGGACGTGTGCGCCCTGCGCGGCCTGCGAGACCTTTGGCGCCCGTGCGACACGCATGACCTGTGGGACCTGTGGGTGGGGCCTGCGGGGCAGGCCCCTCAGAAGCCTTTCAGAAGCCTCGCAGAAGCCTCTCATAAGCCTTTCAGAAGCCTCTCAGAAACTTCTCCGAAGCCTCTCCGAAGCCTCTCAGAAGCCTCGCAGACGCCTCGCAGAAGCCCCAAAGAAGCCTCAAAGAAGCCTCTCAGAAGCCTTGCAGAAGCCTCTCAGAAGCCTCTCAGAAGCCTCCCACAAGTCTCTCAGAAGCCTCCCACAAGCCTCTCAGAAGCCCCCCACAAGCCTCTCATAAGCCTCCCACAAGACTCTCAGAAACCTCCCACAAGGCTCTCAGAAGCCTTCCACAAGCCTCGCAGAGGCCTCAGAGGAGCCTTTTCAGAGGCTTCCCACAAGCCTTGCAAAAGGCCTCAGAGAAGCCTTTCAGAGGCCTCAGAGAAGCCTTTCAGAGGCCCCAGAGAAGCCTTTCAGAGGCCTCAACAGGAACTCTTGGATCGGTTGCAATCTGGTGTTCTCCTGACAGGTTTGTAAAGGAATTCTTCAAGTTGCGATCAGTCTGTTTCCAGTGGTTGCAGTCCGACCGAAGTAGTTCCTGAACAGTCCGAAGTGGTCGTGATCGGTCTTATTCCCCCTCCCCCCCCCTGCCAGCCCCCCCCTCCCTCGATTTCGGCAACCCCCCTCCTCCCTCCCCAGAGTTTTGCTCTGCAAGGGTGAGGGCAGGAGAGGGGGGGGGGGGCGCTCTGCAAGGGGGGGGCCCTCTCAGGCGGGAGCGGGAGCTGCAGGGAAAGGCAGGAGGGTCCGCTTTGCAGATGGGCGCTCTGCAAGGGGAGGGGGGGGGGGGGGAAAGGAGAGAGGGGGGGGACAGGAGAGAGGGGGGGCGGGGGACAGGACAGAGAGGGGGTGGGGGAGAGGAGGGGGGGGTGGACAGGAGAGAGGGGGGGGGGGGCAGGAGAGAGGAGGGGGGGGGACAGGAGAGAGGGAGGGGGGGACCAGAGAGAGGGGGGGGGACATGAGAGAGGAGGGGGGGGGGGCAAATCATCACCATCTCCATCACCATCACCATCACCATCGTCACATGACCATCATCATTATCATCATTATCATCATTATCATCATCATCATCATCATCATCATCATCATCATCATCATCATCATCATCATCATCATCATTGTCATCATCATCATCATCATCATTGTCATCATCATCATCACCATCATCATCATCATCGTCATCATCATGATCATCATGATCATCATGATCATCATGATCATGATCATGATCATGATCATGATGATGATGATCATCATCATCATCATCATCAGCATCAACATCATCATCATCATCATCATCATCATCATCATCATCCAGAGCGCCCCGGATCGGCGGCACTGGCCAGAGGCCACTACAATAGGAAGATGACTCCGACGGAAAGACCCCACATGAGCATCTGTTTGGCTTGCCCTTAGCCCTTCCCTCCTTGCCCTGGCGGACACCCTCCTCTCGCCCTCTGCTCTGCCCTCTCCTCCTCCTCCTCCTTCTATTTCTCCTCCCCCTCCTTCTTCTATTTCTCCTCCTCCTCCTCCTCCTCCTCCTCCTCGTCCTCCTCCTACATGGAGGACAGAAAATTTTCGACGGTCCGCGCTGATTTCTCGGATCTGCGCTGGGCTCCCCTCTCTGGCGAGCCTCCGGCGCTGGGGGCAGCCCCGGAGGCGCCGCCAGGGAGCCCCAGCGAAGATCCAAGAAATCCGCGCGGACCTGCATGTTTTTTGCAATCTTTTCTTCTTCGGGTATCGGCCCCCGTTCCTTGGCAGCGCCGATCGACGCTAAAGCGACGCGAGTGGACGCTAGTTGGCGCTCCATCGGCGCCATCTCATCGATGGCCAGACGCTAATCGACGCTGGTGCGTTCTGAAAGCGGAGGTGCGAGGATAGACGAGGCTCCCATGATTTGCTGCCGAAGGCCCCCGCTCCTTGTAGGGAGCGCACAAAGGACATCCGCGCCCAACTATGTACATGAACGCGGCCCCTCGATCCGCGAGACCGGCCGCATGATACGAACATTCGCGCAATGCGTACTCTCGGAACCAGCGTGGATTCATGTACGTGTACGTCCTTCTTTCGCTGGGGACCTTGGGGATCTCGCGCGGCGCGCCCAGGGGGGAATGGGAAGGGGCAGGCCTTCTCAGAAGGCTTGGAAGTCCACTGGCCTTCTGAAAAGTTTCCTGAGCCTTCCCCGAAAACAAAGGAAACCTCTCTCAGAAGGCTCGAGGACTTCTGAGAAGCCCCGCCGCCTTCTGAGAAGACCTTCTCCTTCTGACTTCCCCGCCTCGCTCGCCGCCGAGTTTGAGATTTGAACCATATCTCGGGTCTCCGGCGGGCGTTCGGGACGATCTGGGTATCCCTGGAACGCCCTCGGCGAGGCGTAGCTGCCGGCAAACATCCCGAGGCTGGAAAATCGCCCGGAACCTCCGAAAACATCCGAGAACCTCGAACCTCGAACCCGAGGGCAGGAAAGCCGCCGACCCATGATCTGCGACCGAAGGCTCCCGCTCCTTGGGGATCTCGCGCGGCGCGCCGCCAGGCGTCGGGTCCGTGGCCTTTGGGAGGCTTGGAAATGGGCACCAACACTAAGACAGGGGGTTGCCTCCACAGGGGGGAGATGATCCTAGGTTTCGGTGTTGGTGGTAATATTTCGGCCACCTTGAAGCCAGAATATTACCACCATCACCGAGATCGGGATCTTTCTTCCCTCGGTGGAGGAACACCGCCGATATTGGTGTTGGTGTCAATCTCTAGCCCTGCGAGCCTTCTGCCGGGCGCTGCCTGGGTCCTCCTCCACCAAGCCGTCCCACTCCTCTTGCTGCAGGACGTCCGCGCCCGGCCTCCAGCCTTGGAGGCGAGAGGGAGGGACGACGAGGTGCCCCCCAGGGAGGAGGCGGGATGATGATGCTGCTGATGATGATGATAATGATGATGAGGATGATGGTGATGATGAGGATGATGATGAGGATGATGATGAGTGTGGTGCAAAAGATGATGGTGCTGATGATGACGACGATTACGATGACGATGACGGTGATGATGATGGTGATGATGCTGATGACGATGCTGATGCTGATGCTGATGATGCTGCTGATGATGATGGTGGTCACTGCATAAGGGAAACAAGTCCCGAGCAGAGCAACACGCACCACGACCCCGACGACGCCGACGACAACGACGACGACGACGGAGACGAGGCGCGCAGACGATCCGCACCGAAGCACGGATTCGGGAAAGGGCCCACCCTGCAGGTCGAGATGATTATGATGAGGAGAACGATGAAGAAGAATAATAATAAGAAGAAGAAGATGAGGAGGAGAGAATGTAGGAAGAGGAGGAGGGGGAGGTGGAGGAGGAGGTGGAGGAGGAGGAGAGGATGTAGGAGGAGGAGGAGGAGGAGGAGAGGACGTAGGAGGCGGATGAGGAGGGGGATGATGATGCTGCTGATGATGATGCTGATGCTGATGATGATGCTGATGATGAGGATGATGCTGCTGCTGCTGCTGCTGCTGCTGATGATGATGATGATGATGATGATGATGATGATGATGAGGGGGAGGACGACGAGGAGGAGAGGGAAGAGGAAGAAGAAGAAGAATAAGAAGAAGAATAATAATAATAATAAGAATAATAATAATAAGAAGAAGAAAAAGAAGAAGAAGAGGGGGAGGAGGAGGGGGATGATGGGGGAGGAAGATGGTCTCAGACGGTACTCTTCCCTTACAGGTAGAAGGCCCCCGGGTGGCTTGGCATTATACGATCAGCCACCTCTGTGGGCCTGACGGTCAGCAGCGAGCTTCGGAATGTTCCTGTGGAGGAGGAGGAGGACGACGAAACGTGTGAGGGGTGCGAAGAGATGGGGGCAACAATGCCATACGGGCGCCCTCGCTGGGGCCACGGGTGGAACCGTGGGTGGGGCTGTCTACGCGGCCCCGAAACAAGTCAGGGGCGAACCGAAAATGGGTCGTTGGTGCCATACGGGCGCCTTCACCGGGGCCGTAGGTGGATTTCCCCATGGAACCACATGGAGTGCATTGCCAGCGCTTCGCGCCGCAGTGGCAAACTTAGGCCAAACTCGAACCACGCCCGTGGGCAATGTCAGACCGTCCCCTTGGCAATATCATATCGTGCTTTCAGTGGCCATCTTGGTTTAACTTGCCGAGCTGAGGTTGAGGTGCATGTCGGCTGATGCTGAGTTGAGAAATCATCAGCGGGATCATGTGCAAAGGTTGCGAAGCTGTGCAAAGAAGAAGCGTGGCGCGGCCTCCGCAACATGCTGAGCGCGCCCAAACCCTGGCCGACGAACTGCACAGAAAGCTCTAACACATCCACTGTACTGTGATGAAAGATCGCCCAATTTTTGACATGCTCTCGCAGCGCGGATCGGAGGTGCCCCGTTCGGCGTGCGGAGCCTGGCACGCTGTGGCGGGAGTGGAGCTGTGCGAGCGGGGGGCGGGCAACATCGGGCTTGTAACCCCAACTCCAATCATATGCGGTTAAGCGTGATGACGGTTCGAAGACGGCGAACCACATAGAGCCTCTTCCCCCCCAAGAGTATGCACCAAGCTCGAAGGTCGGTTCGGGACAATAGAAAAGTGAGCGTTTCGTGTCGAACTCGTTTCGAAACAATGGGAAACTGTTTTTTCGTGCAGGATTTCCTCGAAAAGCAGGTCCGACCCGGGTGTGAAACCAGTTCGAGACAACAGCTACGTTATCGGTTCGCTGTGCAATAGCAAAATTAGGCCGAACTTGAATTACGTCGATGGGCTATCTCAGACCGTCCTCTCGGCGATCTCAGACCGTGTTTTCAATGGCCATCTTGGTTCACTTTGCCGAGCTGCTTTGAGTAGCCATGCCGACTGGTGCTGGATTGAGAAACCTTCGGCAGGATCACGTGAAAACGTTGCGAAACTTTGCAAAGAAGAAGCGTGGCGTGGCCGCCATAAATTTCTGAGCGCTCCCAAACCCTGGCCGACGAAGTGCGCAAAAAGCTCAAATACATCCACTGTACCATAATGGAAGGTCGCCCAATTTTTGACATGCTGGCGCAGCGTGAATCGGAGGTGCCCCGTTCGGCGCGCGGAGCCTGGTACAATGCGGAGGGAATGGAGCTGTGCGAGCGGGGGGCGGGTAACCTTGGGCTTGTACCCCCGATGACGGCTCGAAAACAGTGAACCACGCGAAGCTTGTTTTCCTCAACCAAAACTCGAACCAAGTTCGAAAGTCCGTTCGGCACAGTAGAGATCGGTTCGAGACAATAGAATAGTGCTTGTTTCGTGCTTGACTTCCTCGAACAACAGGTTCGAACCAGCTTCGAACTCGGTTCGAAACAATGGGAAAATGAGCATTTCATGCAGGACTTTCTCGAGAAGCACGTTCGAACCAGGTTTGAACTTGGTTCGAAATGACCGATAAGTTATCGTTTCGGGCCGCAGTGACAAACTTAGGCCAAACATGAATCACGCACGCGTCGTGTTATAACACTTTCCGCGCCTGGCCATCAAACGACAGGACGTCTCGAGCGGCAACCCCGGATGTGAAGAGCAGCCGCCCTCTATTCGCGAATCTGTTATTGTGTGTTTTTTTATGGTGGGGGCACTGGACAGGGAACCACTGGATAAGAAATCCAGGGCCTGGAAGTTGCTGCACGGCCAGTTGAGGCTTGGCCATGGATACAGTCGAGGCGTTGACCTAAGGAACCCTAAATACGGAACGAGGCCCCTTTTCCCACAAGTTCAACTTCGATTTACCTTCGAAAGCCTAAAAAAGCCTAAGGCAAACTGTGAAACAATCAAGGAACACCGAGCCCCTCCTCAACGAGAAGGGTTCCTTCTTCAGCGCCCCGACGGTATGCCCGCCGCCCTCATCAGAGAAGGCGCCCTCCAGGGCCTGAGGCCTCCGGGGCACCTTTCCCGAGCGAACGCCCCCCCTTGGCCGTGCTTCTGGCCTGTGAGCACCGGGAGCGCCTCGAGCGAGACTGCGCTCCGGAGAAGGCGGCGCCCCCCGTCCGTGCAGCCGTCGGGAGCTCCGACGCGAATCTGAGCGGCGCGACGGCGCGAGGACCCGTCCTGGGCCAACTCCCCCCCCGCCGTCCTCGAGGCTGCTCTGTGAGCTTGCAAGACCGGTGTGCGCAGAGCCAAGGCGAGCACCACACGCCGGCACCCCCCCCCAATCCAGAGCCCAGGCGAGCACCACACGCCGTCACCCCCTCAATCCGTGTACACGTCGTTCATGTCTGATCGTGCTCATTTCTAACTGTGCTCGTTTCTAATCGTTCCTGGCCCCGAGGCCCAGGACAGAACAATTAGAAATGAAAGGATCTTGGCCCCCAAAAAATCAAAGAACTTTCGAATAATTAGAAAGGAAAAATGTGTAGCTGTCAGTGGTCGACTTGTGGGACGGCAATGCGCGGCGCTGAGGCGAGAACCACATTCTGAACGCCACACCCCGTCTCCACCCGTGCGACTGCTGGACATTTCAAGCTTCGGCGTCATGGCTAAGGATGAGGTCTCGAGCGTTGCTCCCGCGCCTCCCGATAGCCGCGCACCAAAAGGAAGGCCCCTCCAGCGAAGCGTTTAATTTGACGTCGAGCCAGGACGGGAAGCGCAGGGCCCGACCCGGTGTGGCTCGCCAGCGGAGACGATGGCCAAGTGTTAACCCTCCCAGGGGGGGCGCGCCTCCGCCGCACGCGTCGGCTCCGTGGAGCTCGCCCACATCCATCCTCGGGAAGGCGCCAACCCCACACCATCCTGGCTTGGGTCGGGCATGCCCTCCTGCAGTGGCAGAGAAATCGTCCCCGGACTATTTCTGGACTATCTTTGAAGACTGCTCCTGCTGAGGGACATGCCCGACTTGAACCCTGGCCGATCCTGGCCAGGACCTTCCTCGACCTCTCCGCCTTCCGCAGAGGTTCCGTGCGGCTTCGGTGCCGCCGCCGCGGCCGCCGCTGCGGTTGCGGCGTCGGCCGTGGCGCGGCACCTGCCGCGCGGAGGGCGAGGGGGGAAAGTGAGAAGGAGAAGGCCTTCTCGGAAGGAAGCGGGACTTCTCAGAGGCCCTCGCGTCTTCTGAGAAATTTTTCTGTCTTCGGGGAAAGCTCAGGAAATTGTTCAAACGGCCGGGGGACTTCCGAACCTTCTGAGAAAGCCTTCTCCTTCTCACTTCCCCCCCTCGCTCGCCGTCGAAGCTGCCGCGCGGAAAACGCGGGAAATGGAGATCGAAAGCTGCATCGGGGCAAACTGAAGGGTCCTTGCCGTGACGCCGGGGGTCCCGGCTTCTGACGCCGCGCGACCCTGTCGACCCCGAGCCGTCTCCTTCCCCCGAGGCTCCCTGGAGGCTTTCGACCTCGCGCCGTGAGCAGGTTCTGTGGGCCCTATGGGGCCCGAGGCGGGCCCCCCAATGGCGTTCAACCTTGAACGCCAGCGCTGGCGTCGCCGCCCCAGACACCTCGCGGCTCGCATTTTTCCTCGGGTCGGGAAGCCAAGGAAGGCGTAAAGGCAAAACACTCACAGTGCCGTGCAGATTTCTCGGGTCGGCGCCGGAGCTCCTGGGCGGCGCCTCCAGCGCCGCTTCTGGCGCGCACCGCGCGCCAGGGAGGGGGGGGCGCAGCGCCGATCCGAGAAATCCGAGCGGAACTCCGAAAGTTTACGTTTATGATATTTTCCACGAAACGGTGCTCGCATTTAGGGATTCTTGCGTTTGCTCGCAAGAATCTGGTCTGTCTGTCGGTGTGGCGGCTATGTAGCAGCCGTCGCCGCGCCGTCGCCGACTGTCGTCTGGGCCTGACCGTCTGGCGGTTGTGTTGCACACGTAGATTGCGCAACATATATTGCGTCACGTAGGTTCGCCGCTCTACAAAAAATCGGATCTACCCCCCCAATATTACTGGGATATCATGCGCGCGCTTCGTCATCTTCAGATTTATTTTCAATAATCCCTTACAGCACAAAAAACTGAACGGAGTGCACATGCGCCCGTCGTCGCGCGCGCATCCCGGAACTTTCAGACACTTTATGTGCCGTGAGGACTTCGAAATCACGTACCTCGAAAAACATATAAACAATCAGTGGTTCCACCACGGGAATTTTCAAAACAACCTGCGCTCGCGATTTTGCGAATTCTTAAGAAAAGGCCATCGGTTCTTCATCACTTTTATCACATGCGACCACACGTGCCCCTCGCCCGCGCATGTCGAAATTGTTCGAATGCCCTTGCGCGCGTGCTGTCGCGAAAACCCCGTGCAACAAATGGGACGCACGCGCGCATCGTCGCGCGAAACCTTCGGTGCCGTACAACTTTCGAAACCAGCTGTCCCGAAAACAATTGAACACAACAAGAAACCAATGGTTCAGCGGTCAACGCTACCGCGGCCGCGTCGGTCGCGCCAGACAAACTGGCCGCTCTGCGTGCAAGCCTGCGCGCGCTAGCGCGGCCGCAGCGTTGCACCAGCCAGCGCCAAGCAAGCATCGCAATCGCCGCCGCATGGGTTCTGCAAACCAAATTGCGGATGGGTGGGTGGGATGAATGCACAAGCATGGGAGGTGGTCGCGCGCGGTGCAAGGTGGCCAATTCTTCTTTTCTAACATCCCCCGGACTGAACGGTCCGCCCTTTTGTATTGCAATTTACATCTGGTTTTGCCCGATCGTCCATTCGAAATATGAATCCACACCACCCCAGACAGTCCCGTATCGGTCCCCCCCCCTTCATCCTCTGCAACAGCATGCCATGCGCACGCACTCGCTTATCAACAGTCGTCAACTTCCAAAGAATCCATTACAACAAATGGGGCACAACGGCACGGGCGTGTCGTCGCGCGCGCATACCATAATCCTGAAAACAAGCCTGAGATTTCGTGGGGCTTTCCAAATCGAGTCAAATTCTGGACAGCACACAATCGTTGTTTCAATGTCCATCCAATTCTACCAAGCGTGCCCTCGAACGCTCATGCCAAAATCATCCGAACGCCCTTGCGCGCGTGCTGTCGCAATAATCCCTTGCAGCAGAAAGACGAAGTGCACGCGCGGGCGTCGTCGAGCGCGTTTTCGGACATGCCTCGACAATTTTCGATACCGTAAGGATTTCGCAGTCGAATGCCCAAGGCGCATACAACACGCACGTGGTTTTGCAACACCAGTTTTCGAAAAGGTCAGCGCGCGTGCTCTTGCAAATTCTTGAAAACCATGGTTGTCATCATTTCATCACACTCGTTAAAATCATTCGAACGCCACATGCGGGCCACTCGCGCGCCTCGGCCGCGCGCGCATGTCGAACTCATTCCTAAACTTTCATCGCCGTCGCGAGGATTCCGTCGTCGTCATCGTCATCATCGTCACCATCATCGCCACTACCATTGTCGACGTTGCCATGATACCGCGCCCGCCCAAGTCGCCGAGTCGCACTGAAGTGCCCGCTTGGAAGTGCCCAGCGGTCAGCGCCATCGCGGCCGCGTCGGTCGCGCCAAACCAGCTGGCCGCTTCGCGCGCGAGCATGCGCGGGCTAGCGCGGCCGCGGAGACGCACCAGCCAACGGCAAGCACTCATCGCAATCGCCGCCGCATGGGTTTTGCAAACCACATTGCGGGTGGGTGGGTGGGATAGTTGCACGAGCATCGGGGTTCACAACTCACTGCGAACAGCAAATACTTGCACCACGTATATAGCACCACGTAGATTGCACAACATATGCTGCTCCACATATATTGCTTACCAGATATGGCTAGAAACATACTGCTTGGGGTCCACGTAGGCTATAAGTTGTTTTCCGAATTCCAAACACGGGCCCCTGGACCTCTCGACCACCCCTTTGCCCAAAGGCTGGACCTGCTCGACGGACCGCCTCCTGACGGCCACGCAGAGGCGGAGAAAACCTTGAAAACCGAAGCTTTCGGAGGTCTGCGCGAGCTTCTCGAGCATGTCCCGCGCCGCTGGGCGTCGGAGAGGCGCCGCGCCGAAACGACGCGAAGCCAAACATCGCACTGTCCTTCGCATGATTTGCATGCGCAGTCTCCTAGAGTTGAGCTCCCCTGGCGCTTTCTGCACTTGCCGATCCTTGGTCGGTTGGCCGTCTCAGTGCTCTTGTCTGCTGCCCGTGCAAGCCCATGCTCCAGCGCACACGCGCGAGAACTTCATGCTCTGAGCGTGCTCCGCCGCCTGCGGCTTCCTCTCCCCCCTTCGTCGCGCCCCTCCTTCCTCCTGTTGTGCCCGATGAGGCCCAAGTGCGCCCCCCAGCTGCCCCGACCGCGTCTTGGACCCAAGTCGCCGCTGTAAAAACAAGTTCGGTGCAGCCTGCGGCCCCTGAGCTCTCGATCCACCTTTGGCGGCGCGCAGACGGGGGTTTGGGGGAGGGGGGGAAGGCTTCCTGGAAGGAGGCTGCTTCTCAGAAGGCACCGGCCTCACATCTTTCGATGAGGCCGGCGCCTTCTAAGAAGCAGCCTGCTTCTGAGAAGCCTCCCCCCCGCCCCCCATGCCCCCCTTTGTGCGCGTGGCCGACGCCTCCCCGGAGGCCACCTCGCACCCCGGACCCTGGGCCCGCCGGCCCGACCCGACCCGCCCGCCAGAGAGACACGCCCCGCGCGGTGGCCCGGATCTCCGACGCTGTTGTGCTTCCGTCGGGGGCGTGCCTCCTCGACCGCGGCCCTGCGGCCCTCGCACAGTGGACGCGACGTGTCTTCTGGTTTGCCCTGGTCGTGCTCCCCCAGCTTCGGACCCTGGGGGCCCTCGCGGATGGATCCGGCTTGGGAACTGCCGCGGAAGAGGGTTTGGTCTGGGGCTCCCGTCGTGGTCTTCCACCGATGTTGCATGTCTTTCGCGACGCCACGTGGCGCGAGAAGGTCGGCATTTCATCCTGAGTTGTTCTTTTGGCGGTCCTCTGGCCTGGTCGCAGCCCCAGCAGGCCGAAAACTGCCTAATACTTCCCCCCGTAATGGCTTCCCGCGATGAGCAGTGGTCTGGGTTCCAGGTGGCTTTCGCGCCATACCTCGTGGCTCTGGCGGCCGTTCGGGCCGATCTGGGCACCCCTAGAGCGCCCTCGGCGAGGCGCAGCTACTGGCAAGCAATCCGAGTTTGAAAACCGACCAGGACGCCCGAAAACCTCAAACCCAGGAGGGGGGTGGCGGAGTCATGGCCCCACGCGAGGGCTGTCGCGCGCTGGTGCTGCGCATCGCTTCGCCGATCCCTGTGCCCATTGGCGTGGCCTGGGCCCCACTGGCCCATTTCCCTTCCTGGGTGGGGGGGGATACAGGCTGTCCCCTTCGGGTCTCGAGGGTCCTGTCCACAACTTGGGGGGTGGGTGATGGGGCTGAGCTACCATGGCTCAGTGGGGGTGGAGATAGTTCAAACGGTACTGAGTCCTGCGAAACCCTAAAGACCAGCCTGCATCCCCATCTAAGCGGGTGAGTCGGCCAGTGGGGCCAAGGCTACGCCAATGGGGGATAAGGACCCGGGGGAACCAGAAAAAACACCGAGACCGCTACTCCCCAGACCTCTCCTGGGCGCCGGCGGTAAACCGTCAACCTTGGTCACCGCCAGGAGACTCGTAGAGCTTCCTTGCCATATACATACACACATATATATATATATATATATATATATATATATGACTCGCATGCATGTGCAGAACCACTCTTCCGTGCCATCTAGAGATAACACTATGACAGGGCACAGGGGCAGAAAAAAAAAAAAAACCACGAACGGAAAATGGAACAAAAAGGAAATATGACAACAGAA